AGGCCGGGCAGAGCTCGAGGCCTGGACGCTCGGGGGCTGGGGCGTGGATAGATAGCGTGCCGCGCCGAGGCGCGGTGGGCCACAACCGGCGGAGCAGCACGCTGAGCCAACTCCTCCTCCTCCTCCTTTCCTCCTCCTCCTCCTCCCTCCTCCTCCTCCTCCTCCCCCTCCCCTCCCCCCCTCCTCCCCTCCTCCCCCCCCCCTCCCCCCTCCCTCCTCCTCCTCCCCCTCCCCCTTCCTCCTCCCTTCCTCCTCCCCCTCCCCCTCCTCCTCCCCTCCTCCTCCGCCTCCTCCTCCTCCTCCTCGTCCTCCTCCTCCTCCTCCTCCTCCTCCTCCTCCTCCTCCTCCTCCTCCTCCTCCTCCTTCTGTTTGCGCAGTTCTTCTTCGAGCGGCGGCGGACGGCGCGACCGCCACGACGCGCAGGACCACGGCCGCCCCTTGCCAGCCACTGCGGCCCAGCAGCGTTGCCGCCGACGCGCCGACGCCGCGCCGCAGCGCGCCGCCGCCAGACACCCGACGCCGGGATCTGGTCCACGCGGGGCCCCCAGGGAGCCCCGACCCTTTCCGCATGGGGCCCCGGACCTCCGCCTAGACCTCGCCTGCCAGGATGAGAAGACGCCGCAGGCCAACGACAGCGAGACACACCCGCCCCGATCTCTCGTCGTCGCCCTCGTCCTCGTCGTCGTCCTCGTCGTCGTCCTCGTCGTCGTCGTCGTCGTCGTCGTCGTCGTCGTCGTCGTCGTCGTCATCCGTCATCCTCGTCATCGTCGTCGTTGTCGACGTCGTCGTCATCGGCGTCGTCATCCTCGTCGTCGTCACCCTCGTCGTCGTCGTCGTCGTCGCCGCCTTGCTCTCGTCGTCGTCGTCGTCATTCTCGTCGTCGTCGTCCTCGTCGTCGTGGTCGTCGTCGTCGACATCATCGTCGTCGTCGTCCTCGTCGTCGTCGCCATCGTCGTCGTCATCGCCCTCGTCCTCGTCGTCGTCGTCCTCGTCGTCGCCCTCGTCGTCGTCGTCGTCCTCGTCGTCATCGTCGTCGTCGCCGGCGTCGCCCTCGTCGTCGTCGTCGTCGCTCTCGTCCTCGGCATCGTCGTCGTCATCGTCGCCCTCGTCCTCGGCGTCGTCGTCGTCATCGTGCTCGTCGTCGCCGCGCTCGTCCTCGTCGTCGTCGCCGTCATGCTCGTCGTCGTCGTCGTCGTCGTCCTCGTCGCCGATGTCGTCCTCGTCGTCGTCGTCGTCATCATCGTCGTCGTCGCAGTCGTCGCCCTCGTCGTCGTCGTCGTCCTCGTCGTCGTCGCCCTCGTCCTCGTCGTCGTTGTCGACCTCGTCGTCGCCGTCGTCCTCGTCGTCGTCGTCATCCGTCATCCTCGTTGTCCTCGTCGTCGTCCTCGTCGTCGTCATCCTCGTCGTCGTCGCCCTCGTCGTCGTTGTCGTCGTCGCCCTCGTTCTCATCGTCGTCGTCATTCTCGTCGTCGTTGTCGTCGTCGTCCTCGTTGTCGTCGTCGTCGACATCATCGTCGTCGTCATCCTCATCGTCGTCGTCGCCCTCGTCTCCCTCGTCCTCGTCGTCCTCGTCGTCGTCGTCGCCCTCCTCGTCGTCATCGTCCTCGTCCTCGTCGTCGTCATCGTCGTCGTCCTCGTCGTCGTCCTCATCGTCGTCGTGTCGTCGTCATCGTCATCGTCGCCGGCGCCGCCCTCGTCGTCGTCGTCGTCGCCCTCGTCCTCGTCGTCGTCGTCCTCGGCGTCGTCGTCGTCGTGCTCGTCGTCGTCGCGCTCGTCCTCGTCGTCGTCGTGGCCGTCATGCTCGTCGTCGTCGTCGTCCTCGTCGCCGTTGTCGTCCTCGTCGTCGTCGTCATCATCGTCGTCGTCGCAGTCGTCGCCTTCGTCGTCGTCGTCGTCGTCCTCGTCGTCGTCGCCCTCATCCTCGTCGTCGTTGTCGACCTCGTCGGCGTCGCCGTCGTCGTCGTCATCATCGTCGTCGTCGCCGTCGTCGCTCTCGTCGTCGTCGTCCTCGTCGTCGTCATTGTCGTCCTCGCCGTCGTCGCCGTCGTCCTCGTCGTCGTCGTCCTCGTCGTCGTCGTCACCCTCGTCCTCGTCCTCGTCGTCGTCGTCCTCGTCGACGTCCTCGTCGTCGTCCTCGTCGGCGTCGTCGTCGTCCTCGTAGTCGTTGTCATCATCGTCGTCGTCGCCGTCGTCGCCCTCGTCATCGTCGTCCTCTTCGTCGTCGTCCTCGACGGCGTCGTGGTCGTCGTCCCCGTCGTCGTCGTCGTCGCCGTCGTCGCCCTCGTCGTCGTCGTCATCGTCGTCGTCATCGCCCTCGTCCTCGTCGTCGTGCTCGTCGTCGTCGTCGCGCTCGTCCTTGTCGTCGTCGTCTTCCTCGTCGTCGTCCTCGTCGTCGTCGTCATCCTCGTCGTCGTCATCATTGTCGTCGTCGCCGTCGTCGCCCTCGTCATCGTCGTCCTCGTCGTTGTCGTTGTCGCCCTTGTCGTCGTCATCGTCGTCGTCCTCGTCGTCGTCGTCGCCCTCGTCGTCGTTGTCCTCGTCGTCGTCGTCGTTGTTCTCGACGGCGTCGTCGTCGTCCTCGTCGTCGTCGTCGTCGCCGTCGTCGTCCTCGTCGTCGTCGACGTTATCCTCGTCGTCATCGCCCATGTCCTCGTCGTCCTCGTCGTCGTCGTCGTCGTCGTCATTATCCTCGTCGTCCTCGTCGTCGTCGTCGTCTTCGTCGTCGTAGTCATCGTCGTCGCCATCGTCGCCCTCGTCGTCGTCGTCCTCGTCGTCGTCGTCGTCGTCCTCGTCGTCACCATCGTCGTCGTCGCCGGCGTCGCCCTCGTCGTCGTCGTCCTCGTTCTCGTCCTCGTCGTCGTCGTCGTCCTCGTCGTCGTCGTCGTCCTCATCGTCACCGTCATTGTCGTCGTCGTCGCCGTCGTCGCCCTCGTCCTCGTCGTCGTCCTCGTCGTCGTCGTTGCCATCGGCGTCGTCGTCGTCGTCCTCGTCGTCGTCCTCGTCGTCGTCCTCGTCGTCGTCGTCGTCTCCGCCCTCGTCCCCTCGTCGTCGTCGTCATCCTCGTCGTCGTCCTCGTCGTCATCATCGTCGCCCTCGTCGTCGTCGTCGTCGATGCAGTCCTCGTCGGCGGCGTCCTCGTCGTCGTCGTCGTCGCCCTAGTCCTCGTCGTCGTTGTCGTCCTCGTCGGCGTCGTCGTCGTCGTCGTCATCATCGTCGTCGTCGCCGTCGTCGCCCTCGTCGTCGTCGTGCTCGTCGACGTCATCGCCCTCGTCCTCGTCGTCGTCGTCATCGTCGTCCTCGTCGCCGTCGTCGTCCTCGTCGTCGTCGTCCTCGTCGTCGTCGTCATCATCGTCGTCGTCGCCGTCGTCGCCCTCGTCGTCGTCGTCGCCGTCGTCGTCGTCGCTCTCGTCCTTGTCATCGTCGTCATCCTCGTCGTCGTCCTCGTGGTCGTCCTCGTCGTCGTAGTCGTGGTCGTCATCATCGTCGTCGTCGCCCTCGTCCTCGCCATCGTCGTCCCCGTCGTCGTCGTCGCCCTCGTCCTCGTCGTCGTCGTCCTCGTCGTCGTCCTCGTCGTCGTAGTCGTCGTCGTCGTCGTCCTCGTCGTCGTCGTCATCATCATCATCATCATCATCATCATCATCATCATCATCATCATCATCATCGTCGTCGCCATCGTGGTCGTCGTCCTCGTCGTCGTCGTCCTCGTCGTCGTCGCCCTCGTCGTCGCCCTCGTCGTCGTCGTCCTCGTCGTCGTCGTCGTCCTCGTCGTCGTCATCGTCGTCCTCCTCGTCGTCGTGGTCGTCGTCCTCGTCGTCGTCGTCGTCCTCGTCGTCGTCGTCATCATCGTCGTCGTCGCCGTCGTCGCCCTCGTCGTCGTGGTCGTCCTCGTCGCCGTCGTGGCCCTGGTCCTTGTCGTTGTCGTCCTCGTCGTCGTCCTCGCCGTCGTCCTCGTCGTCGTCGTCCTCGTCGTCGTCGTCATCATCGTCGTCGCCGTCGTCGTCCTCGTCATCGTCGTCCTCGCCGTCGTCGTCGCCCTCGTCCTCGTCGTCGTCGTCGTCATCGTCGTCGAAGTCGTCGTCGTCCTCGTCGTCGTAGTCATTGTCGTCCTCGCCGTCGTCGTCGCCGTCGTCGCCCTCGTCATCGTCGTCGTCCTCGTCGTCGTCGTCGTCGCCCTCGTCCTCGTCGTCGTCGTCGTCGGCCTCGTCCTCGTCGTCGTCCTTATCGTCGTCGTCGTAATCATCGTCGTCGTCGCCGTCGTCGGCCTCGTCGTCGTCGTCGTCGTCCTCGTTGTCGTCGTCGCCCTCGTCCTCGTCCTCGTCGTCCTCGTCGTCGTCGTCCTCGTCGTCGTCCTCATCGTCGTCCTCGCAGCCCTCGTAGTCCTCGTCGTCGTCCTCGTCGTCGTCATCATCGTCGTCGTCGTCGCCGTCGTCGCCCTCGCCATCGTAATTCTCGTCGTCGTCGTCGCCCTCGTCCTGGTCGTCGTCGTCGTCCTCATCGTCGTCCTCGCCGTCACCCTCGTCGTCGTCGTCATCATCGTCGTCGTCGCTGCCGTCGCTCTCGTCGTTGTCGTCCTCGTCGTCGTCGTCGCCCTCGTCCTCGTCGTCGTCGTCGTCCTCGTCGTCGTCCTCGTCGTCGTCGTCGTAATCATCGTCGTCGCCGTCGTCGCCCTCGTCTTCGTCGTCGTCCTAGTCGTCGTCGTCGCCCTCGTCCTCGTCCTCGTCGTCGTTCATCGTCGTCGTCCTCGTCGTCGTCCTCGTCCTCGTCGTCGTCGTCGTCCTCGTCGTCGTCATTGTCGTCGTCCTCATCATCGTCGTCGTCGTCATCATCGTCGTCGCCGTCATCGTCGCCGTCGTCGCCCTCGTCGTCCTCGTCGTCGTCGCCCTCGTCGTCGTCGTCGTCCTCGTCGTCGTCCTCGTCCTCGTCGTCCTCGTCGTCCTCGTCCTCGTCGTCGTCCTCGTCGTCGTGCTCGTCGTCGTCGTCGTGGTGATCTCTCGCGCGCCGAGCCCGCGGCCGGGCGCGCCGTGGCGTAGCCCCCGACGGCCCGCGGGCGGGCGCGTCGCACGCCGCCTCGGGCCGAGCCGGCGTGCGGGGGCGCGCTGGCGCGGGGCCGCGGCAGCGGGACGCCGTCCTCGCCCTCCGAGGCGCCAGTGGCCACGTCCTCGGGCCCGCTCTGCGCCCCCCCGCAAGCCTCACCCCCTCCTCCGGCCCCTCGTGCCCCACCTCCTCCCCCTCCTCCTCCGCCTCCGTCTCCTCCTCCGCCTCCGCCTCCTCCTCTCTCCTCCTCCTCCTTCTCCTCTCCTCCTCCTCCCCTCCTCCTCCTCCTCCGGCTCCTCCTCCTCCTCCTCCTCCCCCCTCCTCCTCCTCCTCCTCCCCCTCCTCCTCCCCCTCCTTCTCCTCCACCTCCTCCTCCTCCTCCTCCTGCTCCTCCTCCTCCTGCTCCTCCTCCTCGTCCTCGGCAAAACCAAAGCGGACAGAGGGTTCTGGTCGCATATGCCGCTTGCGCCACCGCATGGACGGAGTCAAGAGGTGGAAAGCCACTTACTCCACCGAATTGCCCAAGGGCCAGAGGCGGGTGGCGCTTGTACACAGGACAAGGCAACTAGCCTGCTGAGGAGCACTCGCCCGCCCGCAGCATGTCGGCAGTACGGAGGGGCTGCACTAAATAGTGGCACCCCTTGTTCAACGAAGACTGTATCTGGCGGGCGGGCGGGCAAGGTTGGACAGCACGCGCGCTCCGTGGGTTCTTGGGGCGGGCTGCCCAGGGCATGCGCCATTCAATTGGCAGAAATCTTGGCGCCCCCGAGCACACATCGAACACACACACACACACACACACACACACACACACCGACCCAGCACTTGCTAACTAAATGGAAAAACTGAGCAAGGTGCTGCGACTCTCCAGAGAGCGCAACTCACATGTCGGCCATATCAGCACGGGCAAGCACTCGAGGGGTGCTCGTGGGAGGGGGAGAAATCAACTGCAGCGAGGGCACGTGGGGGTTCGAGCTCCGCTTTTTCCTGCTGACATGGAGACAGTCACGATCGGCCATGCTCGGTCCTGTTCAGGCGACACACATCGCCCACTTTGAAATCACAAGGAACTTAGCACGCCTGGAATCACGGAGCGGAGCAGGGATACGGACACGCTGGGCCACCCATTGGGCCCAGTCGTCAGCGAGATCGCTGCCAACCTTCTCGGGACGAGTGGAGAGGCCAGCCTGCACACGCGCCTCCGTGCAGTGTCCTTTGACTTTGCACGCATGCACGTGCTCGATCCCCCTCCCCAGTCAGACACCCGCTCCCGCACCAGCACCCACATCTCCGCCCACGCACCAGAGGCGGCACAGCATGCATGACGACCGCGCACACACACACACACGGAGTCAACGACGTACGAGGAATCAGCATCGAGCACCGTGCCTGGGGCGGCCTGCTGCAAGCCTCGAAAAGTTTTGAGCGATTCTGCAGCATCGATTTCTGTGCACAAGGAAAACACCTACAAAGACAGAGAGCGTACGGTACGGGCACTCGGGAGCAACAGCAACGGTTCCTGTTCCTCATCCTCCTCGTCCTCTTCCTCTTTCCTCCGATCATCATCACCTCATCCACCCTTACTCCCCCCTCTTCTACCTGAACCTTCCTGTCTTCCCCATCCTCCCCCCCTCCATTCTCTTTGTGGGGAGCCCATGCGTAAAACCACTTCGAACGCCCTGACCCTTTCCGAGAACAAGGGAAAAAACAGTAGAACCCATGATGGCTCTGTCCATCCGTCGCGAGGCAGTTCTTCAGGGACGAAGCCCGGCGGCGACGCCGGCGGCCCTGCACACTTTTACACCCCGCCGCGACGCATGTGCCCTGAGGCCAAAGCCAGGCGGCATGGCCAGCGGCACTGCACACTTTCCCGTCTCTGCGGTCACCAGAGTGCGTCTCCTTTTGGAGGCTGGGCTTTCGCGCATCCACAAGTTGCGCACGCACACTCCCGTCGCGAAGCAGCTGCCTCACGAGCACAGCCCGGCTGCCAGGCCGGCGGCCCTGCACACTTGCACGCCTCTCCGCCCACCACATTCCGCAGTCGCTCAAAAGTTGGCTGCCGGCAGCGTTGACGTTCGCGCATGCACATCGTCTGCACGCGTGCTACCATCGCAAAAGCATTGCCTCGAGAACAAAGCCCGGCGGCAAGGCTGGCGGTCCTGCACACTCTTACCTCTATCCGCTACCACGGTCCATCTCGGCTTCGGCGCTGGCTAGGGGAAGTGCCCCCTTGCGTGCATTCACAGCTTCTTGTTACCCCCGTCGCGAAGCTACTGTCTCAAGGTCACTGCCCAGCAAAAGTGTCGGCGGCCCTGCACACTCTCACGTCTCTCCGGTCGCCACGGATCGCCTCCTCTTGGATGCTGGTTTGGCGGTTTGCCTTCTCGCGTGCATCCACAGATTCTGCGCGTTTGTGCCGAAATTCGCGTGGGACCGCATGCGGGCTGCGCCGCTGGGACCTTCGGT